GCCACTTGTATGCGAATAGTGTAAAAATATGGTATGTCAAGGTTGTGGACCCTGTAGAGGACACAATTTTAATCTGATTTGGATGAAACTTTAAATATATGACTTCATTTCTATACAAAAAGAAAAATCCATTCCAAGTTCAAAAGACTCATATTCGCTGTAAACTAGATCGAAAAGCAACTCGTTGTTTATGTATGATCTAAGTGTTATGTTATATGAATAAATGACTTGCCTGAAAAGACATAAGGATAGTTAATTTTAATGCCTCACGACAAGGGTCCACAATGTTTACATCACGTGACTGATATTCGCGCGCTTTTATGGAAGGGAAATTTCCTCTCAGCTACCACACGCCTTTACGTTTAAAGGGACAATAACACTCTTACTGGTTTGACAGCTCCAGAAAATAAATAATAGCCTTATTCTAAGTATTAGATGTTTAATTGTCCTACCTGTTGTGTAAATTATCCATTAAATCCTATTTTACTTGTCCAGAGGGTTCGAAAATATTTTAAAATCCAAGTCACAGTTGAAAAGGTTTATGTTAGGCTTTTCAAATCATTAAGTTGAATTTTTACAATTTTTTAAATTAGGTGTGTTAAGATAAAATTTGTATCATCAATTAATTGGAATATTGTAAAATAGTACAATTTGTTGACCAGAATAAAGATTGGGGCATATTATTCAGTTACAACAAGAGTGGTATTGAGCCTTTAACAACAAATATTTTTCAACCATTAAAAAAATGGCCAAACATAGACAAGTATTTCAATGTTCTGAATTACTTAATTCTCTGTTGTTCAAGCCTAATTTGAAGTATTTAATGTACAAACGAATGAAAATGAAATTGGAAAATATCAACACGGTATCCGAGAACCATTTCCGGTTGTGACTTGTATTCGTATGAATGAACGTACTTACGGATACCGTAATAATAACATGATTTCTGACCATTGTAATATCCCAAATAAAGTTGGAATGGCAAAAGAATTAACGCCACAACAACTCTGGAAGTAATCTACAGAAATTGTTCAAATTCGACAGGCTTTTTTCGTTTTATTAATTCAAATAATGCATATAAATTTCATACAGATCGGATGATAACTTATGTTGTTCGAACGTTCCCACGTTTCATCAAAGTAAAACAAGGGCCATAACTCTATAAGTAAGTGACAGAAATTGCTGACATTCAGTAGGCTTCTTCATTTCACTAATTTAAATGATGCATATGAATTTCATACAGTTTAAGTGATATCTTTTGTCGTTCAAGTGTTCACAAGATTTAACAAAGTTAAACAAGGGCCATAACTCTAGATGTAATTAACGGAAATTTGCTAAAACTAAATAGGCTTGTTCATTTTTCTAATTTAAATGATACATATAAATTTCATACAGATTGGATAATTACTTTTGTCGTTACAAGGTACAACAAATTGAAACAAGTGCCATAACTCATGGGGTAATTAACGGAAATTGCTGGAATTCAATAGGCTTCTTCGTTGCACTAATTTAAATGATGCATATCAATTTCAAACAGATCGGATGATAACTGTTGTCATTAGTGTTCAGAAGATTCAACAAAGTGAAACAAGGGGCATATAAACTCTAGATGTAATTAACAGAAATTGCTGAAATTCAATAGGCTTCTTTGTTTTACTAATTTAAATGATGCATATAAATTTCATACAGATCGGAGCATTCACAAGGTACAAGAAATGAAACAATTAAACGTTTTTTTTAAATTGGATAATAATTGAGACCTCCCGATGGACCATAAGCTAAATGAGAGCATCCCTAATGCTGCAATATACTTCCACATTCCTGCTTTGATTGATATGGAGCTATACTATATACCGGAAAACACCAGAAAACAATGAAAAACACCGGAAAACACAAGAAAACAACCAGAAAACACACTAAATACAACATGGAAACACCCTAAATACCGGAAAACACCCTAAATAACGGAAAACACCCTAAATAGGTAACCTGGAGAAGGGTTATACTATAAACCGGAAACTAACCCTAATCCAGGCACACAGAGGACCAGGCTCCGGGTTACCTATTTAGGCTATTTTCAGGCATTTAGTGTGTTTTCCGGTATTTAGTGTTTTTCCGTATTCAGAATAACATGGTGTTTTCCGGTAGTTTTCTGGTATATAGTATTGTCGATTGATATGGTACTTTTTAAAATGAAGAGAATGAAATATGAAATGGCTGTAATATGACAAGAGGCAAAGTAGGCTAGGCGTTGGGTTTGTTTTGCCAAATTTTCAGACAAAATATTAACAAAAGATAGGTTGCCAGGCAACGAAACATACGCCCACAGCAGCTAAATCGTTCAGGCAGTCAACAAGAGTTGTCGCATATTTTTACTTTTTTCGGTAATGAAACATTTATAATACACTAAAATCTGATTAAGAGCAACAACTTATGAAGTAATTATTAGAAAACCATTAGAATTTGTTTGGTTTATACAAAGTTCTGCCCAATGCTAACGTTTTGTATACAAAACTTTTAATATCATGGATTTAGCTGTTCAAGTCATAAAAATTCATTGAAAATCAATATACTTGTTCGTCTCAAGATCTTAAACTCTGTATCAATCTGATGATAACTTTAGCCTTTAGAGCAGAAATCGTTGAAAATCAAGGGCCATAACTCTTGCAGTAATTATCGGAAATCGCTGAAAACCAATAGGCTTCTTCGTCTCATGACCTTAAACACTGTGTATAAATTTAAAGTCAAACGGATATTAACTTCGGCCTTTAGAGCATCCACAAGATTTTTTGAAGTGATCAAGGGCCATAACTCTGGCAGTAATTATCAGAAATCGCTGAAAATCAATAGGATTCTTCGTCTTATAACCTCAAACACTATGTATAAATTTAAAGTCAATTGGATATTAACTTTAGCCTCTAGGGCATCCACAAGATTTTTTGAAGTGATTAAGGGCCATAACTCTGGCAGTAATTATCGGAAATCGTTGAAAAGCAATAGGTTTCTTCGTCTTATGACCTTAAACACTGTGTATAAATTTAAAGTCAATCGGATATTAAATTTGGCCTTTAGAGCATCCACAAGATTTTTCAAAGTGATCAAGGGCCATAACTCTGGCAGTAATTATCGGAAATCGCTGAAAATCAATAGGCTTCTTTGTCTCATGACCTTAAACACTGTGTATAAATTTAAGGTCAATCGGATATTAACTTTGGCCTCTATAGAGCCATAGAACTAGAATACTAACGGGAACGCCCACCGTGTGACGTCACTACCTTATGTGACGGCGGGCTTCTGACGCTGATATCGGGCACAGCGTACTTCCGGTTTCTGCTCGCACTAACAAAATGCCCGGCGCGAATTTTGTTTTGTTCGGATGTTCCGCCTGCAATAAAAGAAATCGGGGTTGATCATTCTATCGCTTACCCAAAAACAACAGAGTGGAGAGAGAATCATTACGTATCATACAGTCTACCAGATCAGACCCGATAAATGACAAGACCTTGACAATATGTTCAAGACACGTTGAGCTGGATTATTTCGTTGAAAAAGTAAGTGAAAACTCAAAAGAAATTAATTATGTAGATTCTAGTTGGCAGTCCACCCTGACAACCTACAATGAAACAATGAAGTTAAGTTAAACCCATACTAGCTGAATGTCTGTATTTTCATGTTTGCCCGTTAGATTTTACCCCTTCTCTCATCAAAGTTGTATGCATATAGGTTTGTTTACATTAGTGCCGTAGCTAGGCCTAATCTATTTTCAATTTGTTATGAAATTGACGATTACTACACCCGATGAGTGTGTGACAGCATGACGATTCTCTCAACAATCTTCTTTTACTTTAATTTTATGAATTACTAATTATTATTTTTTTTTAAAGGTCAAAGTTTTAACTGAGCAGCTCCATAAAAATTAAAATTGTATATTTATTTATGACTGACCTTGACCTAGCTGTCAAATCCTTTTATTTTTAAATTCCGAAATAATCTTGTTCCCGGTATGAATAATCAACAAGCATGGAAAAAAAATAATTATATCTGAACCTTTTGTTTTGTATGTAGGAACCTTTTTATTTTGATTTTATGAATATTTCAGATGTTTATAAAAATTCTGGGTCCACATATCGAAGATTAAAAGAAGGGTTAGGGAGACTATCAACCTTAATTCTTCTACAGAAAAGCGTAACAACAAAGAAATTGAATCCAAGGAAGTCACCGGTAACTTAAATTTCTGTTAACTTAATTATAACTATGAACATTCGATGTTTCCTTATAAAAGATCAGTATATGAACATTTAATTCATCAATATTAAACAGACATTATGCAAGAGCTAAATCTGTCAATTGCAGGTCTTTCTTTAGGCCTGGAATGTTATCTAAATTATTAATTACACATTAATTAACTTATCCAGACCATAATCAACGCTCGATGGCATCGCTAGCCTGTGATATATACTGGATTAGATCCCAGTCTGCTACTTCTGATTAAATCAAAAAATGGATAATCGAGACCATGTTTTTTTTTTTATCGTACCGACCTTAGTAATGATGATCGAGGCTAGGCCCAAAATTCAACCACTAAATACTCGGTTCAGGGTGGATCAATTTGACTGAAATTTTCAGCAAATTCCCTTTACATTATCTAGTTTTTAACTATTATAATGAGAACTGCTAGCTCTTTCTGTAATCTCCCATAATTTTATTTATAAATACTTGTATGAATATCCGATTCTTCTTTATATTTACTTTTGTAATTTTTTCGATTTTATTCAGAAACCGAGAAAATTATGAATACATGTATGAGAATCCAATTCTTCTTGTTTTAATTGAGTTTTATGAATTTGTCTATTTTATTCAGAGTCCAAGGAAAACCGAGGAAACTCAATGTTTACATATGAACGAAGTAACCTTTCAGATGTTGCAGAAATCATTTTTATGTCAAATGCCTGCTTTGTGGCTATGTCAGTCTTCAAGTGATTATATCTATCTGTTTAAAACTGAAGATAAAAGTGTAACATACCATTTAACCATTGACAAGGACTTGAATTGTGAAGTACAATATAATAATTTTTGTTTCCTGTTCAAATTAAAGTTACATCTATAGATTTACTTATAAGAACTGTTGAGAATATGAAGATATGTAGGGGCATAACATCAAAACATTTACAGTCTTATTCTCAATGTCAGCCTACAACTGTAAGATATATCAGACAGGTTGATCTTTTCATGAACACAAATAAGTCAACATATAAATTACGAAATCTGTGTACTTGCTTCTGTATGTAATAGTTTTCTTGAGGACACTCAAATCGAAATTTGTTTAAGTTGTCGACAGATTAACAGAGATTTACAGAGAAAGTAAATAGCAATAATAATAGTTTATTTCACATATATGGCTACATAGCACATTGCATATTCAGATTTTGATTGAAAATATATAATTCAAAGAATCAATATTTACATACTTGTAAATGTAATTTACAATTCAAAAATAGCTTAGCAATAATATATAGTTGCCATATAAACGAGCAAAAAGTGGTAGAATATAATCATGTGGTACGAATTTGATTAAAATGTAGATTTCACTCCATTTTGATTTATTTCTTCCAACTGACTCCACTCCACATAGATTTGAGGTCAAATGAGAAGTTATAGAGTTAAACTGTGATCATTTATTTCAGGTATTTTATTTACAGCACTTTGCTGCAAGCATTTCACACAATGAAAGGAACAAAAACACAGATTATACAGATAATTTCATACAACAAAATAGAAAGTGTATAATTAAACTAAACATCACCTGGCTCTATTGGAATTAATATCGATATTGGAAGTATAAAAATATAAATGTGATTGAATCTAGGATTAAATCTAGAACTTAATCAGCAGTGTTCTACAGATTTTTTATTTCTTGTTATTACTGTATTGTAGATAATAAGTAATGAAAAGAAAACAAGGCCCCAAGTTTACAAAGCATTCTCAGTCTTTTAAGTTAAGGTTTTACTCAAAATTGTTTGTCTTATTTTAACTTAAATATAGCACTTTACTAACTATTGTTGTTTTAATGTAAATATATCAATAAGAAACTATGCGCAAAGTTTTGTGTTTCTGGATCAAAGATATTTCTCAAAAACAGTGATTGAAAGTTGAGCAAATTATTAAGTCTGGGAATGCTTTGTGAACTTGGGGCCAGGTTGATAATTGTAAACAAAATATATCGAGACGCAATGAAATAGCACCTCTGAGATGACGTGGCATAACTTTGCACCTTCCACAGTTGCACAAAACCTAGCTTTTTAAAAGCTGCATTATATACCCCACGTGTGTACCAGAAAAATCAACATACTGATTCTGTTGGGTTTAATTGTTTTGATTGAGAATTGTTCGGGGTGCGTTTACGCAATCTTCAAAACATTCTCACATGTTATCATCGTAATATGATGTTGTTACATCCTTAATTGCAAGATTAAAGCAAATCTTTAAAACAAAATTGAACTGAAAAGTACTAAGTAGGGCGTTAAACCTGGATTCATTTCAAACAAGATTTACATTCATCCATTTATAAAAGTGATGTATTATTTTTATTGCATCTCAGTATAAAATATTAACAATGATAACAAAATTTATACAAATTTTATACAGGTGCACAACTTGTAATGTGTGAGCTTTATAAATGTATTAAATTATTCTTAAATATACATTATGTAAGATTTTGATAAAGAGCTAGCCATTCTTGCTATAATAGTTCGAAGATAAATAATGTAAAATGAATAATTTGAAAATTTCATTCAAATTACTCTATTGCAAGCGAAGATATTAGCCTTTGAAGGCCTTTGAAGGTTTGACAAGACGTGTGCAAAAATTTCAACCATCGTACTGGTTGTTCGAAGTAGTCTCACTCCTCCATTTTTAGCTTAAATCAAAATATGGCTGAACTGTTCTAATCTATTTAATATTGGAGAAATCCGATGCCATCGAGAGTTGATTAGGGCCTGGACAAGTTAATTAATGTCTAATTAATAATTTAGAAAACATTTCAGGCCTAAAGAAAACCTGCAATAGGCAGATTTAGCTCTTGCATAATGTATGTTTAATCATTATTATCATAAGCTTATGGATTTTTTTGTGCATTTCTATTTGCCTTTAGTGTTTATCAATGGTCATTATCTGTTAAATTCACAAGTTTTATTTAACAAGCATCACTGTCATGTGAATAAAATATCTTTGAACAGAGCCTTGGATCATTCCAACCACATATTGTTGTTCTTGTTTTTTAAATTAGTCATCTTGAATAGTAATTTAACCATTTGTTCCAAATGATGATAAACTTATACTAGAAAATGCACAGGCAGATGACAAGTTTTGATGTATAATATTCCTTGTTGGGGTTAAACTCGATTGAGGTTCGGCAAACCCTTGAGATCATGTGAACATCAGATCATTTTTCATATAACCACTACTTGAACTTTCCCATTAAATTTAACTGGATTAGTTTGAATCTTAAAAAGAAAATAAATAACAATGAAAACAACGTAAATAAAAACCAAACAAAATCAATAGCTATGAATTAAAATTACCAGTGTAAATCTGTACACAACCAAAGACAGGGTTGGAGGTTATAATTTCCCTCACAATTTTATCTAATTACGAGCTTGATACCAAATTAATACAGTTCTTTAAAGGCTCAATACCACTCTTGTTGTAACTGAATAATATGTCCCAATCTTTATTCTGGTCAACAAATTTAACTATTTTAGAATATTTCAATTAATTGATGATACAAATTTCATCTTAACACACCTTATTTAAAAAATTCAACATAATGGTTTGAAACGTCTAACGTAAACCTTTTCAAATGAAACTTCGATTTAAAAATATTTTCGAACCCTCTGGACAAGTAAAATAGGATGTAATGGATAATTTACACAACAGGTGGGACACTTAAACATCTAGTACTTAGATAGAGATATTATTTATTTTCTGGAGCTTTCAAGCCAGCAAGAGTGTTATTGTCCCTTTAAAGTAAATATTATACAAAATAAAAGAAACTGTTCCAAAGCAATTTGGGATCACGTGGCTAAGTGGGTAAGACGCTGGCTCGCTAGCCTGGAGGTCGGGTGTTCGATCCCTACATTTGCCGAGAAAGTTCATCCAGATTTTCCGGCGTGGTTCCCCCTTGTCAGTGATGCAGTACGGAGGGCCTGACAAGGACAGCTGTCTAATCCTTCGGATGATACGAAAACCCGAGGTGACCTATATAGATTGGAATGCACATAAAAGATCCCTTGGCAGTTGGAATTCGATATAAGAATAGGTGATAGTGCCGCTGCCCGGGCAAAATTTCCCTTAAATCACACCTTATGGCGTATGCCCGTCTTCATTAGCCCAGCATAGGAGCAGAACAGTAGGACGTTAAACCCCATTTCATTTCATTTCCAAAGCAATTTGATCGTTTGAGAAGAAAAAAAATATATAGACATGGTCGAGACTATAATGAGTTTCAAAACTTGCCCATTTGCTACGAACACTATGTGACTATATGTATGTATGTTGTATATGTAGAAAACTTACGGATGCTACTGGAACGACAGGTTGAGATGTCTCAAACAAATCTTTAGCAAAGAAAAGCTGTAGTAAAGAATACACATTTTTTTTTTTATAAACAATATTTTTAATCAGGATGTCTGAATGGGATTGGGGAACAGGCTTAGCCTATGTAAAACCCCTTGTTATAAACAAGAAAAGGGCACTGGGAAACCAGCCAAAACTGGCACGGACATGCCAAAGGCTAACAACAATATGCACAAAACAATAAATAAAAATAATAACAAGTCCTAAATAAAATGTGAATGTCATCATAATTTATTAATAATAATTTTATAATATGTAGTAGAAAATGATACACAAATGTGTATTCAGATAATTTAATGTCCGAAAATAAATGGTTTATACTCCCGATGGTATGTTATATAACTAATTTTAAAAAAACTCATTAAAATTATGAATAACTTACATCTATTACACCGTCAAGTTCTTGAAATTCCAGGATGTCGTACACTTCTGCTATGTTGACATACGGCCGGAAGTTACTTGTGCCTTATTGACTTCGCGCATGCGATGTTCAACATAATTATGTCATCACCGTTATACGTCACCGAGTGGGCGTTCCCGTTAGTATTCTAGTTCTATGATAGAGCGTCCACAAGATTTTTCAAAGTTATCAAGGGCCATAACTCTGGCAGTAATTATCGGAAATCGCTGAAAATCAATAGGCTTCTCGGTCTCATGACCTTAAACACTGTATAAATTTAAGGTCAATCGGATATTAACTTTGGCCTCTAGAGCGTCCACAAGATCTTTTGAAGTGATCAAGGGCCATTACTCTGGCAGTAATTATCAGAAATCGCTGAAAATCAATAGGCTTCTTCGCCTCATGACCTTAAACACTGTGTATAAATTTAAGGTCAATTGGATATTAACTTTTGCTTCTAGAGCGTCCACAAGATTTTTTTAAGTTATCAAGGGCTATAACTCTGGCAGTAATTATCGGATATCCCTGAAAATCAATAGACTTCTTCATCTCAAGACCTTAAACACTGTGTATAAATCTAAGGTCAATCGGATATTAACTTTGGCTTCTAGAGCGTCCACAAGATTTTTTGAAGTGATCAAGGGCCATAACTCTGGCAGTAATAATAGGAAATTGCTGAAAATCCATAGGCTTCTTCGTCTCAAGACCTTAAACACTGTGTATAAATTTAAGGTCAATCGGATATTAATTTTGGCCTCTAGAGCTTGTGGACGCTGGATCGACGGACGGACGGGGGCGACGACAATATACGACCACATTTCAATGTGGGAGTATAAAAAGTGGGTGTGCCACTGCCCCAGGGACCAAAATAAATAGTTGCTGTCTTTACGCTATAAGGAATAAATATGCAAAGTTCCAAGATGATCCATTCAGAATTGCAGCCTGTAGACGATAAATACAAAGATATGTTGCCAGGCAACGAAACATATGCCCACAGCAGCTAAATCGCCTGAGCGATCGACAAGGGTTGTCGCATATTTATTCCATTGTAGGTAATTGGGGGCCTTTACAAGACAGTTCCATACAGATCAGATTATAATTTTTGCCGTTTGAGGGTTCACAAGGTTCTACAAACTAAAACAAGGGTCTCAACTCTGGAAATAATGTACAGTAGAATCTGCATTAAGCAGCCACCCAAGGGAATTTTCACAACTGACCGCTTAACGGGAGTGGCCTCTTAATAAAATCTCGTTGCTTTTTGTGCTGACATAAATTAAATATTACGCTTGGATGCATTGGAAGCGGTAAATTTGTCTGTCGCTGAATCTTGCGCCGAACGAAAATTCTGTACTCAAATCTCGGACATAACTTAACGGGAGTGGACTCTTAATAAAATCTTGGTGCTTTTTGTGCCGACATAAATCAAATATTACGCTTGAATGCATTGGAAGCGGTAAATTTGACCGTCGCTGAATCTTGCGCCGAACGAAAATTCTTTACTCAAATCTCGGACATAACTTCTGTAAACTTGTCATTTTGTACCAACCTTCGATACTACTGTGATGCATTCGATAATATTTATCCATTTTTGTGAAGAAAATCGATGAATTCATTTTATTTTATCAAAAAAGCACATGAACAAACAAACATCGCTAATTTTATCACCTATTTACAGGGGGTGTAACTCTGTATCTAATATTATAGGAGGCGCTAAGAGAGATACTAGATGATCGTGACAAAACTCGGTACTTTTATTTTATTCAATCAGCATCAAATAATGTGTCGTTACGCGTGAAAACAATGATCAGGTTAGTCGTTTAATAAAACAAAAGATTAATTAACAGATAATCCCAGGTTGATTGTTATTTTTACATTTCTTTTTACCTGATCAGTGGGGGTCCAGTTAATTAACTACTACTCACGGGATTAGCGGGGGTGTTACAAAGAACGACAAAATGGTATCATTCAACAATGGCCGTTGAATGGGCGATGTTTTGTTGAATTTATTAGTAAAATAGTGACCGCTGGCCGCGTTAGAGGAGTGACTGTTGAATAAAGAGATGAAACAACAGACCGCTTACAAGGAGATGTCGCTGAATAGGAGTGGCTGCTCATACAGATTCTACTGTACATAAATTGTTTAAATTTAAAAGCCTTTTCGTTTTACTAATTTAAATAATGCATATAAATTTCATACTGATCAGATGATCACTTTTGTCATTCAAACGTTCACAACCACCATAACTCTAAAAATTATTGACGGAAATTGCTGAAATTCAATAGACCTCTGTTTCACAAATTTAAATGACGCATAACAATTTCAAACAGATTGGATGATAACTGTTGTGATTAGAGCAATCACAAGATTCAACAAAGTGAAACAAGGGCCATAACTCTAGAAGTAATAAACATAAATTGCTGAAATTCAATAGGCTTCTTTGTTTTACTAATTTAAATGATGCATATAAATTTCATACAGATTGGTTGATAACTTTTGTTGTTAGAACGTTCACAAGATCCAACAAAGTGAAACAAGGGCCATAACTCTAGAAGAAATTAACGAAAGTTATTGAAATTAAATAGGCTTCTTCATCTCACTAATGCAAACAACATGTATCAATTTCAAAACAATCAGATGATAAATGTAGTCTGTAAAATGTTCACAAGAAATTGTGGACGACGGACGGACGGACGGACGGACAGGGGCGACAGCAATATACGACCACATTTCCATGTTGGCGTATAAAAACACAAAAATTGGGCATGGGTCTGCCCCTCAGTGATGGACATGGACCAATATATATAGGTACAACCCTATCCTAGATCATTCCAAATTGGATCCACATCTGTTAATAATTGTAACCTGTATATCATTTACTGACAAAATATCAACAAAATGTAGGTGTAGCACTACCGAAAGGGCATGGGGTGGGGGCGCAGGGGGTTTGGAGGAGGGGGGCGTGCATCAAAATCAATAGTTGCCGTCCTTAGAGTATATGGAATAAGTATACCAAGATAATCCATCCAGAATTGTGGGTTTCGGGTGCTAAAGTCAAAAAGTGGACATGGCTCTGTCCCTGGGGGTCGAGGCATTCACCAAAATCAATAGTTGACGCCTTTAGTTAGGCTATAAGGAATAAATATGCCAAGTACCAAGCCGATTCATTCAGAATTGCGGCCTATAAACGACAAACACTAAAATTGGGCGTCCATGCAGTTGTCGTCCTTAGGCTATAAGGAATACATATCCCAAGTTCAAAGACGATCCAACACACACAGACACAAAGAAAAAATTGGTATGGCACTGCCCCTGGGGGTTGTGCAATCACCAAAAATCAATAGGGGTCATCCTTAAGGTATAAAGAATAGGTATGCAAAGTTTCAAGATAGGTTGCCAGGTAACGAAACATACACCCACAGCGGCTAAATCGTCCGAGCGGTCGACAAGGGTTGTCGCATATTTATTCCTTTGTAGGTAATTGGGGGCCTTTACAAGACAGTTCCATACAGGGTCTCAACTCTGGAAGTAATCTACAGAAATTGTTGAAATTGGACAGGCTTTTTCGTTTCACAAATTTAAATGATGCATATAAATTTCATACATATCGGATGATAACTTTCATCAATCTAGCATTAACAAGGTTGAACAAAGTCAAACAAGGGCAATAACTCTAGAAGTAATAAACGGAAATTGCTGAAATTCAATAGGATTCTTCTCTTTACTAATTTAAATGACGCACGTAAATTTCATACAGATCAGCATATAACTTCTGATGTTAGAGCATTCACAAAGTTCAATAAAGTAAAACAAGGGCCATAACTCTAGACGTAATAAACAGAAATTGGTGAACTTCAATAAGCTTCTTCGTTTCACTTATTTAAATAATGCATTTAAATTTCAGAAAGACCGGATGATAACTTTTGGCGTAAGAGCGTTCACAAGGTTCAATAAAGTGAAATAAGGGCCATAACTCTAGACATAATACACAGAAATTGCTGAAGTAATAAACGAAAATTACTGAAATTCAAAAGGCTTCTTCGATTCCCTAATTCAAATATTGCATATAAATTTCACAAAGATCGGATGTTAACTTTTGGCATAAGAGCGTTCACAAGGTTCAACAAAGTGAAACAAGGGCCATAACTCTAGACGTTATAAACGGAAATCATTGAAATTAAATAGGCTTCTTCGTTTCACTAATTTAAATAATGCATATAAATTTCAGAAAGATAGGATGATAACTTTTGGGGATAGAGCTTTCACAAGGTTAAACAAAGTGAAACAAGGGCCATAACTCTAGAAGTAATAAACGGAAATTGCTGAAATTCAATAGGCTTCTTCGTTTCCCTAATTTAAATATTGCATATAAATTTCACATAGATCGGATGATAATTTTTGGCATTAGAGCGTTCACAAGATTCAACAAAGTGAAACAGGGGCCATAACTCTAGACGTTATAAACGGAAATTATTGAAATTAAATAGGCTTCTTCATCTCACTAATGTAAACAACATATATCAATTCTAAAACAATTGGATGATAACTTTTGGCGTTAGAGCGTTCACAAGAAATTGTGGACGATGGACGGACGGACAGACCGACGGCAATATACGTCCACATTTCTATGTGGGCGTTTAAAAATGATCTGTTAACAATTGCAGCCTGTGGGCGAAACACAAGACACACAAACATTGGGCCTGGCTCTGTCCCAGTGGGGTCTGGCATGTACCAAAAATAATAGAGGTCAGCCTTAGGGTATAAGGAATAAGTATAAAAAAGTTTTCAAGACGATCAATTAAGAATTGTGGGCTGTAGGTGACACACAGACACACAAAGAGAAAATGGGCGTGGCACTGTCCCTGGGGGTTGGGCATGCACCCCAAACGATAGGGATGTTCTTTAGGGTACAACGAATAAGTATGCAAAGTTTCACAATGATACGTTAAGAAATGCGGCCTGTAGACGACAAACAAACAAATATAAGAAATGAGAGTGGCTCTGCCCCTGGGGGTTGGGCATGCACCAAAAACAATAGGGATCATCCTTAGGGTATAAGGAATAAGTATGTAAAGTTTCAAGATGATCACTTAAGAATTGTGGCCTGTAGGTGACACACAGACAGAAAATGGGCGTGGCTCTGCCCTTGGGGGTTGGGCATGCACCCCAAACGATAGCGATGTTCCTTAGGGTACAAAGAATAAGTATGCAAAGTTTCAAGATAATACGTTAAGAAATGCGGCCGGTAGACGACAAACAAACAAATACAATAAATGGGCGTGGCTCTGCCCCTGGGGGTCGGGCATGCACAAAAAACAATAGGGATCATCCTTAGGGTATAAGGAATAAGTATACAAGAAAATTGAGTAAGAATTGCACCCTGTAGGCGACCCACAGACACACATACATACATACATAC